TAATTAGAAGTGTTACACATTTCTTGGGCTTGTAAGAATGCTTAATGCCAGAGTGAGATTAAAAGAATACAGGTACACTTTGATATCTGTCTCTTCTTGATTTGTTTGAATTTTCTACTGAAGTAGAACTGAAGTTGATTGAAATGTAGGCCAGCGGTCTCTTGGCTTAGTGTAGTCAGGTTGAATTTCAGTCAATTTGTAGTGTTAGCATTTTGGTTTTGACAGAACTTCATAAACTTGCCTCAAAAAATGAGGTTTCTACTTACATTTAATGTTCTTCCAAGTAGGATATGAGTTTCTGCATCAGCACAACCTTTTTGTCCCATTGCACGGAATGGTTCACTTTGTTTCTCTCTCAGCTGGTGTGCAGTTGTATGAGTGAGTGCCTAACGATGTACGTTTCCAAGCTGTTTAGCTCATTTCCAATATGTGCATTTGCCGATTGCATATGTGTGCAGTTTGTGCTCCAGGACGACGTAGAGGGACCTGAGCCTGGACTGCAGTGTTGGGGCTGTTCAGTCACCCCATTACTGTGTAGTGCTGAGATGATAAATCATGTTGTGAGGAAGATTCTGGCAGGTTTCTGCCTTCGATACATTTGCAGCGTGGTTTGGGATAGCGCTTCACTCTTCTGAGGTTCTCATTGAGCAAGTTTGCACATTCAGCATTTTTTTGTTTAACTTTGCAGTGTCTCTCTACAGCCTCACTTAATGAAGAGGTCATTGAGAAATGTCTGTCTACAGCCAGTGTGTTCTGCATAATCACACTGCAGCTATCAGTCTTCTCATACATCTGGGAAACAAGTAGACCAGATTTCCCTGGATGCTAATGCATTAATTTGTCGAAGGCAGATTGCTTCTCTCATCTTGTTGGCTGTTGCTTGCCCTTGTAACCTTTGCCCTTTTTCTGACTTATGCAAATGATTGTGTTCAGTACATGAGTCTCAAAGCCACCACTGGAGGGTGCCAAAGTTCCGAGATCAACACAGATGAGTTCTGAAACAGGATGTTTCCTACAGTGTGGCAATAAGTGAATCCTTCATGAAGGGAACCCTTTCACCTTCATGGTGAGCTGATCTTTGTTCCCATAAGCCTTATTTCAAGAAGAATCTTGTGGATTTCCTTGGCCTTCATTTCAGATTCGGTGCAGTCCTCCTCGTTTATAGCCATACTTTGGGTGTTTCAAGATGAGGAAGAGTCTCTGAAGGTTTGAACCAAAGTCTTTGATCCCAGCATGCTCTGTTCTCCAGCCAACACTGCTTTGGCTCTCCAATATGATCATGTTGCTTATTAACACAGCTTTGACGGTGCTCTCTGCAGTCTTTCCTTTGCCACAAATTAATGCTTCCGCTTTCATGTGGTTAATGTGTGCAACAAACTGTTTTTTCATTGTTTGGGATACCAGCTGTAGCTATGCCTACTGTTTTCATCAGCAAGTGTCAGATGCTCACCGATTAATAACCATTGTCTGGAAAGAGCTGGATGTGGCTTTAGCGTGGCTGGTGTTTGTTGTAAACAGCCCCTTAAGTAATTCCTGGAGGTGAATTAACGTAGATGTCAGCTGTAACTGTTTCTGATATACACTTTGGGGGAAAACAATTTGTTCAGTCTCAGTCGCCTTATGTTTGTTGTTTGCATCTTTTTCTGGATGTAAATATTTTTTTGCCTGTCCATTGATAATTGCCTACTGAAGCATGTAGTTGTACTGCACAGGATGATAATGTGCTTACCATATGGCCTCTGTGGAGTGCAGTGCTGCTCAAGGTTGCCCATATATGTGTTTGTGAAGTTCAGGTGCAGACGTCCTTGGACCTGCTGAAAAGACGCTTTGTGTTAACCTAATATGTAGCTTTGCAGATTCTGGGCTGTGGGAGTTGAGGCCATTGCAGATGCTCCTTCCTGTCTACCTTTTGCATTTTTTTCCCCACATACTGCGACCCTCATCTGTCTTTATCTGGGTTCAGCTGGGTCAGTCATTGTGTAAACAGTGGTCACTCCTCATACTAATAAAATGAATGCATTAGAAGTGTTTACTGCTGCCCATCAGGAAAGAGGCCACTTGTTTTCCATGCATGTGAGTGTGTGATTAATTAGTGTTGGCTGCACACATTAGTGAGAGACTAAGGGCCTCCTCCCTTGGGTCAGTTAGGCTGGAGAACTGCGGAAATGCAGTTACTGACTATATGATTCATATGATTCAACATAATTATTTCAGGACTGGCTGATGATATCAATATGGAAATACATAATTTAAAAAAATAAGGCTCGGTTTTCTCAATAATCCTTCAGAATAACAGGCCATGTGCGGGAGCTTCATAAATGTAATTGGACAGAAATGAAATACAGCTGCTTAATTTCCCGCATGATTCTGCCCCATTAACTGTCTATGACTTAAATGAGATTTCAACTAGTTTGTTCACGTCCAGCTAAATTGTTACTAAATTGTTAAATTGTTACTTGTATGTACTCATAACAGCACTACAATTGCCAATTATCTCTGGGCTTTAATAAATGCTCTTAACAAATATAAAGTAATTTTAATTGGTACTTTTGCTCACTGCAAATGACATCTCTGCTGAGTTCCTGTGACCTGCAGACAGGGAGCGTCACTTACAGACATTGCTGTAAACATTGAGCTTTTCACCGTGGAGCCGAAATTTCACAAAAAACCAGAACATATTCAGCTGCCGCCTCAGAGCTCGTGTCTGAGAGCCATCAGCAGGACAGTTCTGACTCACTCTGGCTCTTATCACATGCATTACAGTGAAACTATTTGCCTGGGGGTGAACATTACTGTATTCTGTTGTGGTGGAACAAATCAGTACTGATGTTACTGGTAACAGGTTCTGCTGGCCTGGAGAAACAGTGTGATGAGCTGTGCCCCTGCTCCATGCCTCCATGCTGCCACATCTTGTACAGCAGCAGTTGCGATGGCAGCCCCTCTTGTATCACAAGCTGCAGCGAGTTCGCAAAACAGTCCAATAGTTAACGACTCCCGAATCATCCATTGCTTTGTTTTGTCTCGCAGTTGCGTGCGCTTTGTTAAACGGGATTGTCCGTTAAACGCTATTCCCACCTCAAAACTTTATTTTACATAGCTTGCAAATCGCTGTGCTACTGGTTTCTGTTAAAAGCGTAAAATACTCCCAGATCGTCACGTCTTATCTTACGTCTTATCTTTAGCTCTTGTATACGCTCCTCGTACTGCGAAGGATATGCGCAAGACGTCATAGCAGACAGAAGTCCCTGTACTCACACCCACTGTTCCCAAAGTTTCTCTCTTTTGCGGATAAGATGATTTTCACCCCCCCCCCCCCAACATTACAGTAACTCTAAAACTGCTTCATATTAACTTTTTTAGGGCTGCCGCGATTAGTCAATGTAGTCGATGACGTCAGCACTGAAAGTGCATTGACATCAATATTTAAAATCGACGCATTGTTTTTATTTTAATAAAATTACTTTATGATGTCTAAAACGCTTCAATCCACTATAACAAATGTTTTCCTTCAATCTCAATTCAATATCATATAATTATAGGAGTAGTTCAAATCATCACAAAAGAAAAAGATGGTTTTACGATGTGCAATGTGCAAACCACGCCGGTACGAGCGCTATGCATGAGTACCGTAAGAGAAAACAGGCAGGTGCTATTCTAGATCGCCAGAAAAGGCAAAACCATTTTTTTTATTCATGTTTATTAAATTGCCATTAGTAAGGAGAGCTTTTTAATACCTTTTGTCTTTGTAACTGCTAAATAAATAGCATACTTTAAGTATTAAAGCCATAAAGTTTTATGCCTGCTGCATTAGAATCTCCATTGAATACGTGTTTGTGAAAATGTATAGGCTGAAATCTGGGCTTATTCTACGTTGATTGAAGATGTCAATGTGTACGTTCGTGCATGTTGGACTTGCTGGGACCAGTGTTGTTATTGTAAACAAACTGAAACGAGAATGGACAGTAAATAAAAGAAAATAATTTGTGAACTGAAATAAGAATTAAAACTTGAATCTGCAAAAAGTATTGTTACACCACCTTGTTTACCTTGTTTAACCACAATATCTCCCCCTTTTAAAGGATGTTGTGGCTGCTAATCTGTCCCTTCCTTCATCGCTTGTGTGGCAAGTGGCGTGCTCCACTAACTTTGTTAAACGTGAGCAAATGCCAAATTTATACACTATTAATCTGCTTATCGAGTTGTGGGCGAAAATAATGTTCATGTAGTGCTGAATAGTGCATACATTATCTAAAGCCTTTCAATGGCATACAGTTTGCTGTTGTCAAAATAAAATTAACTTAAATGGTCAAGTTGATTTTCTGGAGGAAAATTAATTGTAAGGATTGATTTAGATTAATTTAATCGATAAAATAGTTTAGTCTATAGAAAAATAGTTGTTAGTGGCAGCCCTAAACTTTATTTTTTATTTGTTGATGAAATTGTCAACACATTTTGTGAAAGTTTTTGTCATCATATTAATTTGTATTTTATTGTCTCATTTCCATCAATGAAGAATCTTGAATAATTTTCTTCAATAGCTTTGGACAACAAAATTAACACTGGTTCAACCGTCAGGACGTGCCACCCAGTTAGGGAACCTGTAGACGAGGGTGGGGAACCTGTTCCTTGGACGGCTGTTGTGGGTGCGGGTTTTTGGGTTGACCTCTGTCAGCCATTGATATTGGTTGATTGAGGGATCATCCCAAACACTCGCACCCACGCCGGCCCACCATGGAACAGGTTCCCCACCCCTGCTGTAGACTATTTGCTTGTGTTGTGTTGGGTATTCGTGATCTTGGGGACCATCATCTTTGTCTCTTGAGGTCTTATGTCCCATGAGGTCATCTGAAGCAGTTAGAAGTGTATTTAATTATGACAGTCACATTGCTTTGGGAACAGATGTTTTTTTGCCTGTACATGATGCATTTATGTGTTTTCTGTGTGATATGCAGAATATTAAAATGTAAACACAGGCTGACTCCCCCTTCTCTGTCTCGTAGTGTTAAGGAGATGTGAAGTTCGGTCAGACGGTGGCGACACTGAGCAACCTGTGCATCGACACAATCCCCGCCCCCACCTTCAGCATGAATGGGGATATGCCTCATGTTCCGATCACCACTCTCGCTGGGATTGCTAGCCTCACTGACTGTAAGTAGCCCCTGCATCGCTGTTCCCGGCATGGGGAACGTGCCCTGCTATGCTGCTGCCAGACATGCATGCCTGAGTTCTTCCTCTTTTCTTCATCGTTTAACTGGCACTCCAGCAGACTGTGTCTGATTCAGGTTCTTTTTTCCTTTTAATGTTGCTTTTTAATAGTGTAACTATAGTGATTTAGAGCATCAGCTAAAGTGCCATTGTTGGATTTGTCAGCAGTTTAGTAGTTTGCTAGTAATTTAGTTTGATCCTTACTATACACAGGCACGCCCCAAGTTTCCAGTATAGCCAGTATGATTAAGGACGTAAATGTTGATATGACGCAAAGCTTAATGAAGCTGTCTCTCCCATCTTTTACAGTGTTGAACCAGCTGCCTTTGCCCTCTCCCCTTCCTGCCACCACCACTAAGAGCCTGCTGTACAATGGGAGGATCGCGGAGGACGTCACCTGCCTGCTGGGCTGCAGGGACGAGAACCTGGTGGCCCAGCTGGCCCAGAGCCTCAGCCAGGTCTCCACAGAGCACATGTGGGTATCCTCTCCCACTCTAACACTGGTCTCTGTTTAGGCCTGATATGCCTCCCCATGTGTTAGCTTTCATTCCAGTTAACCTGCCCCTCTGGTGCATTATGGGTAATGACATTGCAAGGTGCACTGATCTGATATCCGGTTCTGTATCTGTACCGATCCATATCTATTAGATGGATTCGGTATCGGCCATATGTAACTGATCCACGTCTGACACTTGTTGAATTTTTTGGCAGTCTGCAAAATTGTAGGTCCTATGTCTTGTTAACTCGATTTGTATAATCGATCACACGGCAGCTCTTTACCATTTTAGATGTGTTTTTGCGCCATTCAAGCTGAATGTTAATGCTGCCACTCATTGGGTATGAGCATAGTGATTTCTCCCTGCTTTGACGTCATGTGCATACACTTTGCAGTAGGAGGACTGTAAGAACAGATGATAGGGTGACGATCTGGAAGTATTTTGTGCTTTTAACAACAACTAGTAGCATAGCAATTTGCAATATTTGTAAAAGCAAAGCTTTGAGAAGTGGAAGTAGCATTTAGTAGAAAATCTCACTGACGTAAAGTTAAATATTCAACATTCGACATTCAAAATACAATTAACGGTTGAACAAAGCGCACGCAATATGAATATGAAAAAGCAATGTATGATTTGGGAGTCGCTAGCTTGGGCTGTTTTGCACACTCGCTACAGCTTGTGATACAGGAGAGACTGCGATCGCAGCGAAGTGTAAGTGACGCTGATGGCAGTGGGAGAAACACTGTGGGACATTTTAAGCATTCGCCACTTGCATATCTTCGCTTGGAAGACATTCAAATTAAACTGCAAAATGCCTCAAAAATGCTTAAAACAAGATGTACAAATGAGGTGGAACAGTACGTTATGTATGTTTGTAGTAGCCTAATTAAAGATTTTTTGGCGTATTTTTTCATTTGTGTTTACTAGTTTAAAAATATTAATATATAAAGTATAAATATTGACATGTTGTTATATTAAAATATTTAGGTAAAAAGACCTCGTATCGGAATCTGTATCGATATTGGCAGTTGTGTATCAGAATTGGATCGGAACTGAAAAAATGTGGATCCCTAGTTATTGCTCATGCCCATCCATCTCACGCTGTGGGTTTTCTGGTACCTAAATTACAGCACTTGGGCTCCGTCGCTCATTTTTTTGCCTGTTCTAATATCCATATCCATCAGCCAAAAAAGATACAAACTTTTTTTTTTTTTTTTGTTCAGCATGATGGATTTTTTACGTTGGATGAGTGCTTCAGTTATATTTATGTATTTATTCTTCTAACCCGTGTGTTTTCCGCACAGAGAACTGAAGGACAACTTGGGCAGCGATGACCCAGAGGGTGACGTCCCAGTGCTGCTGCAGATTGTGCTGTCCAGGCACCCCAACATCTTCAGAGAGAAGAGTAAGTGTCAGAGCTTGGAGACCCTGCTGCAAACACACTGCCCACCCAAAGGTGGCCAGAGGGAAACTTGCCATCACCACTGGCTCCATCTGGCCTTTACTTGTTCACTTGAGACGGCCACTGCAATTAGGGTTCCGATTCTTAAACGGCTCACTCCTACATTTTATGAGTTTGTTTATAAAATCACTCTAAGGCAAAATGCATTATGCATTATTTTTATGGCCATTAATTATTTTTAGTTTACGTGTCAATTTTTTGTCAAATTATTTGTTTATTTTAAATGCAGGAATAAGCAGAAATGCTTGATTTTTGATTCCTGTGATCGCAAGGTTGCTGGTTCAAATTCCTTGGCCTGCAGAGTGCTGTCGTCGTCGGGCCCCTGATTAAGCCCTTAACACTCACACTCACACTCACACTCACACTCACATTCTCATTCTCAGCTGTGTGGTATTTTGACCAGAAAATAATACAATAAATAACATGCACACAATGTTAATGTAAATTGCACTGCTTTTCTCTCTTAGGTATCATGCAGCAGCCAATGATGCCGCAGTACAAAATCACCCAGAATTCCATGCATGGCAGCCCAGCGTCAACAAACTACCAGCAAGCTTCCATTTCACATAGCCCTTCCAGGTGCAGACCAAACCTCCGTCTCTGTTTGAAGCCTTTTGTTGATGCTGGTCGTCCTGTTCTGCTGCTCAGATCCCTCTGTACAACAGGGGCCTGGTTGATCACAGCAGTTTTGTTTTAAAGCTGCGTCTTTGAGCTGTCAGCCATTTGTGGAAGACCGTGCATCTGACCGCAGTAGCACTGGTGTGACCGTGGTGCTCCGTCTCTGATCTCATTCCCCTGGCAGTCGCTTCGTCCCGCCGCAGACAAACTCCGGCAGCCGCTTCCTGCCGCAGCAGAACAGTCCGGTGCCCAGTCCCTACGCCCCCCAGAGCCCCGCAGGCTATGTGCCGTACCCGCACCCGCCTAGCTACACGCAGCACCAGCAGATCCAGCAAGGTGAGCTGCGCCGCCTCCACCCCTCACTCCCTGCCTGCTCTCCATCTCCCCGTGTGTTTCATACCTGATATTTTTGGATCTGGTTTGCAGTACACAGACTTCTTCAGCCTCCAGGAAGCTCAGACCTTCTTTACAGTGACCAAAGACTGGTTTAATCCAGTTTGCCCCCCCACCCCCCGCCACACACATACACAGCTTTACTGTCTGCCTCCCACCTAAGTGCGCTTGTTTTTTCCTGTGGGTTTAAATGTGCCTGGTTCTCAGCTGTCTAGCACATGCACACACGCACCTGTGCACATGCACAGCCTGTGAGTACTCTGACCCCGTGTGTGTGTATCTCTCCCTCTCTTTCTCTCTCCCTCCTCCTCCCCTATGCTCATAGAGCTGCACGGCTCCCCTCTGGTCTCGGCCCCTGCTTACTCAGGAAGCCCCCAGCGGCCGGTTCAGCCGTGCCTGGGTGGGCAGCCTCACCCCTCCCCCCAGCAGAACCCCTCCACCCCGACGTTAGGTAGGGGGGTGGGCCCTGACAGCCATCTTGCGTGTCTCATTTGCAGCCGTTATGCAGCCCGGCGTCATACCCATCTGTCCGCCCCATCAGCCATCCTCTGGGATTCTAGGTGCTTAGCAGTAATGAAAATAATGAGGCTTTGAAAGCCATAGCGGGTGGGACTGCTCTGCAGTGTCAACCACTGCCTGTTTTAACCTCCTGAGAAATGACAAACAGCCAGGGGGAACTGAGGCGTCATTGATTGGCATCGTGCAGTGATCCTGCCCACAGTCAGCCCAGAAGGCCCTGAGGGACATGCAGCATTTCAGCAGACATCCTACACCCTGCTTAAATGCGCCACGTTATGAAGTTGGGAAAGGCTTCAACAGGAGGGTGCTTATTACTGACCACCAGGGGGTGCTGCTTTTTTTTTTCCTGCCTCCTCTCTAATTCTTGCTCAGTTGTGTTGTCAGCTCCTCACTGAGGGGTGCTTGTAAAGCTGAAGGCCTGCAGCTCTCCACGGTGGACATCACCCCACCCTGCTCTTTGTTCACATCGCACCTTTAATATCGGCTCATTTTCCCTCCGCATCGACCTGCCATCTTTCAAAGGGTTTCATCTGAATCCACATGGTTGTGTGTCTTGTGTCCTGGCTCTGCTGGGTCGAACTCATGTTTCTGCTTGGTCTCCCTCTCTGACCATGCCCCTCCAGTGTCGGTTGCCAGTCCAATGGTGCCTGGGGGCCTGAGGAATATCCATGAGGCCAAGGCGCCTGGGCCAATGGCGAGCAGTGCCGCCAACCACCACGCGGACCGCCACGGCGCCAGTGAAGACTACATGAACATCGTCCACCGGGCGCTCGGCAGCGAGGTACCTTCACGTGTCCGTGTGGCCGTTCTGGTATGATGGCGGCAAGAGCGCGGTAGCCCCGCGGTGCCACGTCTTTTCTGGAAGGAACACTAATGATTTTGAGCTGCCTTTGAAAATGAGCAGTTCCCGCCCCCCCCAAGTTCATTAATGAGCCAAGTTGGATGCATTACTGAAGCGGATTCAAGGGTTAAGAAGAGACCTGCTGTTCAGTAATGCTGGATAGAAAATAGGGGGCTGACCCAATGTTAGAATGTAGAAAGTAACCCATCAAGAGAGACATGTCCCTGGGCTGTAGGTCTCTCCCTGTATAGTGAGCGGTGGCCGTGTGCCGTCATGACCTTTATCTCTCTCTCTCTCTCTCCAGGATGACCCTTCCATACGAAACGCATCCTTCCCCCTGAGGTCCCCCCAGTCTGTGTGTTCCCCTGCAGGCAGTGATGGAACCCCCAAAGGTAGGTCCCAGCCAGGCTGTGCTCCCGTGAGCATCCGGGTGCTGCCCTGTGGTCTCTCTCGGTCCCAAGTCCGTCTCTCATGCTGGTAGGTAACCTTGCCAAGCCCTCCTTTGTTCCCCATCATCAACTTTTCTCTTGACGAATGAGGTTCCTCTTTTGTTTTGTTTTTTTGTTCATTTTTTTGTTTTGCTTTTTTTTAAATTTTGCAACAAACAATAGCGAATGGATGGAGTGAAGATTATAAATGTCAGTGGGGGGTGGGCTCGCGGCGTTAGGTTTTAAGTACGGCCCCTGTTTTCCAGCTGCGTCCCGCCCTCCGCTCATCCTGCAGTCTCCGCCCCCCTACACCTCGCCCCACCACGGCCCCCCGGACCTCCTGGACTCCCCGGACCACAAGAAAAAGCAGAAGAAACTGAAGACGAGCAGGGACGAAAAGGAGCAGGCTGACAAGGCGGCCATGTACGACATCGTCAGCTCGCCCTCCAAGGATTCCAGCAAGCTGACTCTGCGTCTGTCCCGTGTTCGTTCGTCCGAGCTGGACCAGGCAGGTGAGCCGCTGTCGGCCGTGGAGCCTGGCTCCGACCTGGAGGGCGACGTCACCCTCAACAGCCTTCCGTGCGGAGCGGCGCAGCCCCTGCGGACGCCCCAGGAGTCCGGCGGGCCCCCGGCCCTGGCTCAGCAAGTGCCCGTGCTGCAGAACGTGGCGGCCCTCTCCTCCAAACAGCCTGCGCCCGGCAGCAGCACGCCCTACGATGAAGTAGAGATGGATGCGCTGGCCGAGATCGAGAGGATAGAGCGCGAGTCGGCCAATGAGCGGGAACGCTGCTCCAAGGAAGTACAGGACAAAGGTACGGAGCTGGCCTGCCTTATGAGTGTTTGCTTATAGGTTAGATCTAACTGTCAAAAACTGAATATGCCTGGTAAGAACTTTCAGCTGTATGTTTAAATGGTCACTTTTTGCTTTGCAGATAAGCCACTGAAGAAGCGGAAGCAGGACTCGTTCCCACAGGAGCCTGGAGCTGGGGGCACAGCAGGGGCTACTGCAGCACCAGGTGGGGGCGGAGGGGGCAGTGCTGGGAACAAGCCGGCCCCTCAGGAGGCCAGCTCAGCAGGGAACGGGGCCAGCCGGCCGGCCCTGCTGGTGAGCATCGACCTGCAGCAGGCAGGCCGTGCTGATGGCCAGCCAGATCCCCTGTGTGTCGCCGCACCCATGCCGGCACTCGAGGCCCAGCGGTGGCCCGAGGAGCCACGGGAAGGGCCCGCCGATGGTGCTGGGGCGGCCCGACTCGGCACGGAGCACAGCGGTGCCAGGCAGAGGCCGGATGGGCAAACTGATCGGAGGCCTGAGGTCATAAAGCAGCGGGTGGAGCCACCACGACACAAGGCCTCAGACGGTAGGCCGGACGCCGGCAAGCACAAACACGACTACCGGCGAGACTCCGCGGGCAAGCCCCTTACTGGGGACAAACGACCGGAGACCTCCAAGCACCGGCGCGACAGCACGGCGGACGCAGCAAAATCTCGCTCAGAACCAAGGACCCCGGATGCTCGGCAAAGGCATCGGCCGGATGGGCGGCCATCTTCGTCCTCAGAGGCTCACTGGCGGGAGGGCCATGAGGGCCACAAGGGTAACGGGAGCCGGGACTCGACCAGAATTCCGCGTCCTGAAACGCCCAAATCCGGCAGCAGGGGAGAGCATGACTCCAGACACGGGAAAGACCGGGATCGAGATCGGAAGTCAAGGACCGATGCTGGCAACGCAGTCAGGGAGCGCCGTTCTCCAGAAGACCGCCCTCGACCTGACAGAGGTGCAGTCGACCATGGTGGGCGTTCGCGGGGCGACCGGCCCGGCTTCAAGCCTCTCAGTGGGGATGGGAGCAGGAGCTGCCCAGACAGTCAGGCCAAGTCCGGGGAGTTCCCCTCCTATCTGCTCGGGGGAAAATCGGAGGCACTGAGGAACTTTGTCATCCCCAAGATCAAGCGGGACAAGGAGGCTGCCGTGCCAGCGGGTGCCAGCGGGCTCCCCGAGGGCTGGATTCAGCCGCAGGTGAGGCTGGAGCGTATGGACCTGATGGAGATGGAGGAGCTCCACAAAGTACCCAAGCCTGTTGTGGTGCTGCAGAAGCTTACCTTGGACGAGGTGCAGAGGTTCCTCCGGGAGAAGGAGGACCGTAATGCACGGAGCTCCAAGTCCAGCAAGAACAGGCTGTCCTCAGGGAAATCGGGGAAAGGTAAGACAGGCCCGGTCCAGCGATGCTGTTTGGCGTCGCTGCCACCGGGGCCAGACGCACATGCTTCCATTTACAGTGTTTGGTCTCTCGGCATTGTGTGTGGGTGACACGGTGGTTTCAGCCCCACACGGTGCCTCTAAACATCTAACATCTCTGTGCTGTGGGATGAGTGACCGGCTTTTATTACATGCTGCAAAGCATCCAGTAAAACGTGCGTCCATCACACATGTATGGAAAGCTGAATGGCTTTGTGTATAAGCTTATTATGGGATTGGGGAATCTAACCGGGAACCGTAACAACCGTTGTTGAAGTACAACATGTATTAATTCACCTTCAAAATGCACTAAAGTCTGTGAAGAAATAAAAATGATCTTGCATGATTATATGTGTGTGTTGGCAATTCTCAATCCTCAGTCTGTCTCTGAAAGATATGATTTCTCTTTATCTAATTAAATGACACAAAATGGGTTTTGAAGGAGGAAATGATGTAAAGGATCCTCCTTATTTCCCACTTGGATATGCGTCCCCACATTCCCCATTCATTATCACTACCATTGCATGTATGTAGACATTTTTCTCTGTCACTACTTGGTCATTTCTATAGAAAAATGTTTCTTCTGGACCGCATCCTATTTCCCTAATGAGAGATGTTATAATTGGTGCCTGTCATTTGTTCATCATTGTCTGGTTGTTTGATTGTCCATCTTTGGCAAGTGAGGCCGCCTCTAGCTGGTGCGTAGTTTGAGATCCCTAGAAAAGGCTGCTCTTGCAGAGAATGCTCTATCCAGCAAGCCATTGCCGAGTAAGGGGTGAAAACCCAAATGTTCTGTATCTGGATGGCACTGGTCTGGGAGCTGAGCGCCCGAGGCAGCAGGTCGGTGCCCCCCCCCCCCCCCGCCCCAAGCTGATGGTGTGAGCACTGAACTGCTGTTTCTGGCGATGAATGAATTTCATGCTCTCTCCTTAGAAATGGGGGGAACATAGTCAACATGGCCTGGTATGGACCCAACATTGACGTTAGGTGGCAGACTGGACCAAACAATGGTGTGGTGCCCCAGTGCCTGAAAGGGTAGCCCACTGTGTGTTCTCCTCTTAGTGGATGTGACAGCAATGTTTTTCTACAGCTATGAACTGAAGGGCGAAATCCTAAAACAACACAAGGCTTATAAGGAAATGTAGAGGAAGACAGGGGCTAATTTCTCTTCCTTATACCTCTGTGCCGGGGCTCTCCTCTATTCACGGTTCATTGCCTCCATGCAGTCACACGTATGCTTCAGCCATATTTTGTTCTGATGGACATTTGCCTTGTTTGAAGGAGCCGTTTGTGTATTTGAGCTGCTAACGATGGGGTGGGACAGCTGGAGAGGCAGGCAGAGTACTGAGAAGAGCAGACCGTGGCTTCGGCCCGTGTAACCATTAAGGACCTGGCTTTGTGACCAAGCCCCTGTTTGGACTCTTAGATGAAAAGCTCTGAGATCCAAAGGTGAATGGCTTCAGTCGTTAGTGCTGCGCCGTCGGTGGTCAGGTAGAGCAGCTGCAGTCAGCTCTGCTCGCTGTCGCACGACGCCTGTGACTCCAGCTGCCCCTCTCATCATCATGACAGGAAACCTGACTGCTCCTGTCTCCAAGAGCGCTATGCGTCTGTGGCTGGGTGCTCTGCTCTGAGGGGGGGGTGGTGGTTCTGAATAGTTACCCACTTGTTAAGATCATCATGTCGTTATCGCTGCTGCTGCTGTGTTGTCAATCTACCAGAAAAAAAGTGACGTCCTGATCCTGGGATCCCCAATTGTGGTCCTGAGAGACTGCCAGTCTGTGACACAAATTGTAGATTTCCCTGCTTAGCTGCATCTGCTAAACCTGGCATTTGGTTGGTGACCTGAATAACGTGTGTTTGAGCACGGAAATCTGCAATCTGTGTTGCAGACTGGCCATCCGGCACTGGAATTGGGGACCTCTGCTCTAATCAGCAGTGTGCCCATTCTTGCTATGTAGCAGGCTAATGGTTTATTCAGCAAGGTCAAAGGTCAGTGCCACCCAGGTTTTCCTCAGCCGGCCATGTCTTAGTTTGCCACATTTGTTAATCACACCGGCATCTGGCTGCTTCTCAGTTCATCTGGTTACAGAAACCGTTAGCTTATGACGCAGTGAGCTTGTGCCCCCTCTCCCCCATTAGGACGCGGAGCCCTTCTGCCACATTGCCGTGTGCTGATGCACAGCAGCAGTGAAATGGCGTGCTGATCACACGCGTCGCTTAGCGCACAGTCTAGCACACGTAGAACACTGGACGCTTAGTCTCGGAAGCATGCTGCAGAGTTCAGCATAAAGGGATCGCTTTGGGCGCACAGTACTGGAATAAAGCAAGGAATTCATTTGCTCCAGGCTGAATGGCTCTTAGCAGGACCCTTCTTGGCACTTGTAATTTCCAGGTTTCCTGTTGCAGTCCATTTCCTTAAAGGCCGTGACTGTGTTATGTTTGCTGCACATGTGATTACCTCTACATAGTCCTAATCAACAGTCAGAGATCGCATTAACATGGAAAGATATTAAACCCCCAAAAGGCTGAAATTCATAAATACTGCTATTGCCACTTCAGTTTTCTCAGCTTTAGATGTGGAATTATTTAAAGTACATGGTGTGATTTTGAAGTAAATCATCCTCAGATGACTGAGGAAGGAGGGGGAAGGCAAAGGCCGGTGAAATTTGTTGAGGAACTGGATGCTCCATGTGTTCACCGGCGCTGGGATTTGCAGACTGCCAGAAGAATTTAAACTGGCATTTTCTTAATCCCATGACATACTGTGAAGGGAGGCTTTTATCCAGTGTCATCTTTTCATAATCGTTTATTCCAATTATTTTTTAAGCTGAAGATTAAAAGGAAGACCTGGGCCAGTTTGACATTAATTTTTCTAACAAAAGTGAGCTGTGGTGGACAGAAGGGTCATTTACCCTTGAAATATTAGTTAACCCATCAGTTAACGGTCTGAAGAAATCTGGGCGCTTTGTGTGTGGAAGCTGTTTGCGTTTGTAGGATACCATCATGTGTGAAGGGCAGACTTAAAATGAATGGCCTATATTTAAAATGTTATATTAAGAATTAACCTAAAAAGTCACTAGAGAAGTAGTAGGAGATTTTTTATTTTATGACAATATGAAGCGCTCAGGTATTGAAGTCAGTCATTTAACCATTCTAATTTAATATAACGGCTGATTACTCACTCTTCAGCAGAAGGGGTTAATTGTTTTGAGGGTAAATTTGTAACTTTTGTCCACTGCAATCCACCACAAAAAAACACTGGATTTTTGCTTCTGATAAATACTTAAGATTATGACTCTCCTGAGATGTCTGTAGTAAATTGTGGGTTAATTTATCAAAGTCAGATATTTTGGTGGGGCACTTTCTGGATGCTAGTGCGAGCTCTGATTGATTGGACCACATTCGTGAACCAGTGTTACGTTTTTTTTTTTCTTTCCTAAATGTAGCAGCCAGTTGCACATGACACCAGTGGTCTGTAGCCTCACTGTTGCTGGGTTTCCCGCTCGGCCAGATCAGCCAGAGATGTCGCCTAAGGTTCATGACCCGCAATCCTCCTCACAGGTGGGATGGACCAGTCCGTGTTGAAGGAGCTGCCCCCGGAGCTGCTGGCGGAGATCGAGTCCACCATGCCACTGTGTGAGCGGGTCAAGATGAGCAAGCGGAAACGCAGCACGGCCAAGTACGCGGAGGTCAGCTCTGAGGAAGAGGACAACCACGAAGACATTGAGGCTGGAGGTGACTGTGAGTCTCCGCGCCGAGCTGGCGCTCGCCCTGTCACTCAGACCTCGCTGCCCGAGGGTGATCCTCATCCTGCCGCGATCCCGGCGCTGCACACATACTCTCAGGGCTCTGATTGGATCCCCCCACAAACTAACTCGCCTCCTTAGCCAGTACTCCCTACAGCTGTAAGCTCTGTTTTGTATGCTAATGTGAATTTGCCAGCTTTCTCTTGTGCAAGCAGATTTGAAATTCTGTGTTCAGCTGTGCTTGGTTTAATAGAAATTGATATAGTAGATCTGCTGTGGACCTAGAGCTTGGGGTGACAGCCTCTCCTTGAGGCTTTTGGTCCCTTCCAGTTAGCTTATTTACACCCTCAATGGCAGCAGAGAGGAATGAAGACCAGCTGTTAAGGCCCTCGTTTTGCTGCTGTGTCAGTTGATCGGTCCTCACTCTTCTCTGTTCCTCAGCTGCCCGGAAAAGACAACGGCGGGACCGAGACAAGACATGGGAGAGCGAGGAACGCGAGAGAAGGGGCTCCGGGGAACACCGCCGCAGTGGGTGGGGTCACGATGGGCGCAGGGGCTCCGGCAGCCGGTACAGGGAGGATTCGGAAGAGGAGTCTCCGCCACCCAGCCTTAGTGAATGTGAGTGTCACGGGTCAGCTGACCGGGAGCGAGCGCGTGCATTTGCAGTGACATCACTCTCACCAGCTCACTCTCCTGTGTCCCATCAGTGGCCCGGAAGATGAAGAAAAAAGAGAAGCAGAAGAAGAGGAAAGCCTACGAGCCCAAGCTTACCCAAGAAGGTATGAGTACTGGTCAGAGTCGTCAGTCTAGCAGGCTGAGTAATGTTGATGGAAATCTGGTTAACACCTTCTCAAGGAAGGGCAATGCTATAGCTTATTAAATGTAGCATGGCACTAACAGTGCAAAAGGGTTCAAATTAGGGCTCCCGAGATTAGTCAACGTAGTCAATGATGTCGAAGCTGAAATTGCATCGTCAGTTTTTCAAATCCGCGTAGTTTTTTATTTTATCAAAATTGCCTTTATGATTTCTAAAACGCTTCAGTTCATTATAACAAATGTTTTCCTTTAATATCACTAATGATAATTTGAACTACTCCCATAATTACATAAACAAAAAGGTGGTTTTACCCTGTACAAAGTTTCGATGGCGTACCATGATGGTGCTAGCGCTGTGCACGAGCACCTGAAGAGGAAATGCATGAGCGCTAATTTGGATGATGGAATGGCAGAGTAGGCAAAACCACTCTGTTGTCTATTCATGTCTATTAAATTACCATTAGTATGGAGAGCTTTTTTAGTACCTTTTGTCCTCGTAGCTGCGAAATGAGTTGTCTGCAGCTACCTTAGAATCTCAGTTGAATAAGTGCTTGAGAAATCAGTTGGCCAAGAATCGAGGCTTATTCTACGTTGATCCACGGTGCCAGTGTGTTGGTCTTGGTGGGACCAGTGTTATTATCGTAAACTACAATTGAAACGAAAACGGGTTCTAATAAAAGAAAATAATTTGTTAACTGAAATAAAAATGAAAACTATATTTATTAAAAAAAGGTCTTGGACTTTAATTGCCAAAAAGTACCACCACATCACCAGCGTCTTTTTACCCTGGTTATCCATAATATCTCTCCTTTTAAAAAACGATGTGGTTGCTGAAGTGCCCCTTTCTTCACTGCCACATTAATACTTATTGCTTCCATGATTTACCAAAACAGTAGCATGTAGCGCTCCGCTAACCGAATTTAGTAAGCATACAGATTACGGATTACAAAATACTAATTTATGGTCTCACAATATGCATCACATTAATATTATAGACACACTACTAAACTGCTTATCTAAATGTGAGCGAAAATAATTTCCCTATAATTGCAGAAATGCCGGCGTCCATTAATTTATGCGGTTCATTTGATTTCTTAATCGAAAATTAAAAGTCTATAGATTAATCAAATTATTTAAAATAATAATAATTTAATCCATAGAAAAATAGTGGTTAGTGGCAGCCCTAGTTCAAATCTTAGGGAACACACACAAATTGTAACCTTTCCCTCTACTCTACGTTGCTTTGGATAAAATGAATGAAATGTAAATGCAGTTCCTGGTCTGGGCTGACAGTTTTTCAGCAGGAATCCACCTTTAAAAATAGATGATGCATTTTTGAAAATCTTTCTGTGGTATAAGATACAGGTTCGCTAAGAATCATCCACCTGCTGTTGTGTAATGTCAGCGTGTTGTAACCATTTTTGGTTGACTTGATCTGCAGAGATGATGGACTCATCGACCTTCAAACGCTTCTCAGCCAGCGTGGACAATATCCTGGAGAACTTAGAAGACATAGACTTCACCGCACTTGGTACTGAGCTGGGCTGGTGGTGTATGCTTGCTGTTGCACCAGTTTTTGGATCTTTAAAGTGTCTGGTGCATATTTGTGACCCATTCCCATCCCTCTCAGCGGACGACGAGGAGATCCCTCAGGAGCTGCTGCTGGGGAAGCACCAGCTGGCTGAGCTGGGCAGTGAGTCGGCCAAGATCAAGGCCATGAGCATCGCAAGCAGGGTAGGCGTGCTCCTCCTGCTGCTTAAGGGGGAATCGGCTTTTGCATCCGGACCAACTTTTTCAGCCAGGAGCTCGTGTTTGGCTCCCACCAAAAGAGCTCTTTGCTTTGCAGATTCCCACTGACAAGTTGGTGAAGGTGCTGAACATCCTGGAGAAGAACATTCAGGATGGGGCTAAGCTGTCAACTCTGATGAGCCATGTGAGTTTCTCCTAACCAAGGTCACAGTTTCATCGCTCTTAGGTCCTGTCATTGGTCACATAGGAACGAGACCTGGGCAGTAGAAGGTGACTCACAGGTCAGAAGCATCTGTGGTGCTTTTAGGTTCTTGACTCTTCACTGTATGCAGTTATTTTAAAGTGTTTAGTCTCTTGTTTCCTGGTAAATAGTGAGCCCTTTCCCTGCTGTCACACACGCAGGACAATGACACGGAAGATGAGGAGCGGCTGTGGCGTGACCTCATCATGGAGCGTGTGACCAAGTCGGCCGACGCCTGCCTGACCGCCCTGAATATCATGACCTCCAGCGGCATGCCCAAGGCAGTCTACATTGAGGATGTCATTGAGCGCGTGCTGCAGTTTACCAAGTTCCACCTCCAGAACACCCTCTACCCGCAGTATGACCCAGTGTACCGCATGGACCCGCACGGAGGTCAGCTGGCTGCACCCATCCGCCGTCCTCTAGTGTCCCCCCCCCCCCCCCCGCTGGCTGTCGGTCTTTATCTCTGGATTAGATGGGCTGTTTAACTGCTGTGCTGAAGGTGGCACCAGGACACAGACAAAGGTTACAAAGCATGACATCACAAAACAAATCAAAATTTGTTCCAGCAATGCGGTCGTTAACCTTCTTAAGGTTTGATTTGTCCAGGAGCATCCGGACCTGAAAGTCAGCTGACATTTTATCCGACGTAATAGTCTGTCTCAGGTTTTGGGCTCCATCCTCAGCTGCCATGTAGCGATCAGGGAGGGGGGCCCCCTGCTTGCTGAAGGCAGTCGCACCCTGTGATCTCCGGCCGTGACCTGATCTGTGCTCTCCTACCCCCAGGGGGCATGCTGAGCTCCAAGGCCAAACGGGCAAAGTGCTCCACGCACAAGCAGAGAGTCATCGTCATGCTGTACAACAAGGTGTGCGACATTGTCAGCAACATCTCCGAGCTGCTGGAGATCCAGCTGCTGACGGACACGACCATCCTGCAGGTGAGGGACCTGGGGCGGCTGGGAAGGATGCGCTCTCTCGGTGGTGGCGATAAACTAAAGGATGAAGAGGAAAGCGGCCCTTACTAATGACATGCTCTCTCTCCACCCACCCAGGTCTCTTCCATGGGCATCACACCCTTCTTTGTGGAGAATGTCAGTGAGCTGCAGCTGTGCGCAATTAAACTAGTGACGGCGGTGAGTCAGTCATTCCCTCCCCCGCAGTATGACAGCGCTCAAAGCAACCCCACCGCAACAACACACACGCACACACATGCACACACACACACACACATTCATGTATTCTTTATGGGGACTCTCCATTAATTTCTGTGGGCAAAACCCTAATCCCAACAATGACAACCTTAACCCCTACCCAGCCATGACCTTCACCATAAGTAACCAAACAAAATACAAGACTTTTGGCATTTTTAGTTCTTTGATTGCAGTTACAGATTTCTATAAAAATTAATTTCACCTTTTGGGGAGCAAACAGGTGGTTCCCACACTGTCAAAATATTTATATACATAACATATATATAAAAAACACACCCACACAGTTCCCCTTCTGAATAGAAAGCTGAGGTGTGTGTGTATTATGTATATATTGCTGTGTGTGTGTGTGTGTGTGTGTGTGTGTAATACACACACACACACACACACACACACACAGATATACATACATATACAATATTGTCCCTTTGCCAGCATTGCATTAATTTAATAGGTGTTTCCTGTCTGTAAACGGCACAGCTTCCTGGCTGACATTCTTCACTCTGGCTGCACCACACAGGTGTTCAATCGCTACGAGAAGCACAGGCAGCTCATCCTGGAGGAGATCTTCACCTCCCTGGCCCGACTGCCCACCAGCAAGCGCAGTCTCAGGAACTTCAGGTGAGCTGTCGGCCCGGTTTGGTTTGAGGGACCCTTGTTACCACTCCCATGAAACATTACTTTGATAGATGTTCCTGTCTTCATTTTTGGCCAAGCTACTGGCATCATTCTCCTGATTGGTCCCCAGCCACATTGCTCAAGCCTGGTATGTCTGATTCCCCGCTGCAGGCTGAACAGCAGCGATGTGGATGGGGAGCCCTTGTACATCCAGATGGTGACGGCCCTGGTACTTCAGCTCATCCAGTGTGTGGTCCACCTGCCATGTGACAAGGATGCAGAGGACGAGCGTGGCAGAAAGGTGTGAATTCTGAAGGGCTCTTGAATCTGCTGTGGTGGGAATCTCCACTTTCCCTTCTGGAGGTGTGATTCAGCTTAATGATGTCATTTCCTCTCTGGAGTTTTCCCACTGGCTGTGGTTTGTGGCTGCACATTTGAGCTCCATTTTCCCTGAATTCTACCCAGTGAAATGAAATCTGATGTTAGGAAAAAAATGTTAAAAATAGTTATAGCTTTAAAGAATTATTGCAAGAGCTGAAAAGTTTAGTTTTGATCCATCATTTTGATTCTTAGGTGGATCAGGACGTCCTGATCACAAACTCCTATGAGACAGCCATGAGGACGGCTCAGAACTTCCTTTCAGTCTTTCTCAAAAAGTGAGTCAGTGCGTCTCCACGGTGACGGTGAGTCTCTTATGGGGCTGGTATTTCCCCCTCGATGTCACGATCCTTCACCCCCATTCCCCAGGTGCGGCAGCAAGCAGGGTGAGGAGGACTACCGACCGTTGTTCGAGAACTTTGTACAGGACCTGCTGTCGACAGTTAACAAGCCAGAGTGGCCTGCTGCAGAACTTCTCCTGAGTCTGCTTGGCCGACTGCTGGTGAGCGAATCCCCTCACCTATCTGGTTATGGCGGTATAGCACAGATAGTGTTTCCAGCACTGTACCACCTACAGCTAACTTGGTCTGGCCTTCTGAAAACTTCTGGATTTCTGGTTCCAAACATCTTGCATCTAAGCCTTCTTGGGTTGCCTTATCCAGGTACATCAGTTCAGCAACAAGCAGACTGAGATGGCACTGAGAGTGGCCTCGCTGGATTACCTGGGCACGGTGGCAGCTCGGCTACGTAAGGACGCTGTCACCAGCAAGATGGACCAGCGATCCATCGATCGCATCCTGAAGGAGGTATGCAGTCAATGTGTGTGTCTGCAGGAAATAGTGCATGTCAGGGGAGAAGAGGCTGTGTAGCTGAAGGCCCTGTGGCTTTCATTTGGTGAAACCTGCAGATTTACAGAGCAGTTCGTAAAGACAGACTGAGCCTATGATTTCCTGTTGGCTCTGGTGGCCCCAATCTGTAGCATTGCCTTTCTTGTGCTGTGATACAGGCTTCAGGCAACGATGAGACTCAGCAGCTGCAGAAGACCCTGCTGGACTACATGGAGGACAACGCGGAGACAGACCCGTCGCTTGTGGTCAGTCGCTTGGTCGTGCACTTGTCCGTCTGCTTTGACATGCAGGCTGTGCTGCTGGTGGTCTACTTACTGCTTGGCTTAAAATACTCCTACATGCACCGCAGTGCACATGTTAGTAAGATGAATTTAAATGAGTTGGTGCCGTTTACCCACCGGTCATCTTGCAGTTCGCACGGAAGTTCTACATCGCTCAGTGGTTCCGGGACAGCACCACCGAGGCCGAGAGAGCCATGAAAACGCAGAACCAGAAGGACGAGGACTCGTCAGAGGGGCCTCATCACGCCAAGGACGTGGAGACCACGGGGGAGATCATGCAGAGAGCTGAGGCCCGCAAGAAATTCTTGCGCTCTGTGATCAAGACCACGCCCGCCCAGTTCAGCATGCTGAAGTACGGCCCCCGTCTGTCACCGGGCTCACACCCGCACTGTGTTTCCTGTCAGCTAGGGCCTTAGGACTGTCTATGAGCTGTAAACCAGAAACTATGCTGTATGTCTCCACAGAATGAACTCTGATGCAGTGGACTATGAAGATGCCTCCCTGATTGTCCGATATTTGGCCTCTATGAGGCCGTTTGCACAAAGTTTTGATATTTATTTAACGCAGGTGAGTGCCGCTTCCTGGTGTGTTACTGTATGTAGGTGGTGTGCTATCTGAACATGCGTAGTAAACAAACCCTTTTCTCCGCCCTCTCACCATTCCCAGATCCTTCGTGTCCTGGGAGAGAGCGCCATCGCCGTCAGAACCAAGGCCATGAAGTGTCTGTCAGAGGTGGTGGCAGTGGACCCTAGCATCCTGGCCAGGGTGAGTAACAGTAAATGAGTGTCACCTGCTGGCCAGGAGGGCGTGTGTTAGCGTATGTTAGCATGTGTTAGCGTGTGTTAGCGTATGTTAGCATGTGTTAGCGTGTGTTAGCATATGTTAGCATGTGTTAGCGTATGTTAGCATGTGTTAGCGTGACTTCGGTGCATTCGTGTAGCTTATATATATATGAGCGCCTGCCCCTGCCTCCCCCAGTTGGATATGCAGAGGGGCGTACATGGTCGTCTGATGGACAACTCCACCAGCGTGCGGGAGGCTGCCGTGGAGCTGGTGGGCCGCTTCGTGCTGAGCCGGCCACAGCTCACGGAGCAGTACTACGACATGCTCATCGAGAGGATCCTGGTACGTGTCAGCCTGCGTTTCACGGCCAAGCAAGGGCTGCCGTCTGATTGGGCGTTGAAGGGCAGCTGTGTGCACTGTGGTAAACGATGGATTGCTGCCTAATGCCACTCTGTGAAGAAACGCGTGTCAAGATGAGCATGTGCTGCCTCGGGAGGCTGAAGGCCCGGACTCGGTGCTTTGGACACTGTTAATATGGCATTCAGAACCTTAAATACGAACAGAAATATGTGTGGGCTTTCCAGGCTGACTCACTGAAGGTTCATTCAAAGTATGAAAGTTCAATTCAGGTGAACTGGTGCACCACACTGCCATCTAGTGGCTGGGAGAAGGAATTGGGGAAATTATCATGACGTTACATTACACTGCAGAATGCTTTGGGGGTTTATTTTGCGTTCATGTGTTTCTGTTAGTTCATCCATTGTCTCATTTGCTCACTGACAGGACACAGGCATCAGTGTGAGGAAGAGGGTGATCAAGATTCTGAGGGACATCTGTCTGGAGCAGCCTGGCTTCCACAAGATCACGGAGATGTGCGTCAAGATGATCCGCAGGGTCAACGATGAAGAGGGCATTAAGGTGTGGCTGCTCATCATTAACACAGCGAGCTTGTCTGTCATGTGGAAGATCTGAAGATGAGACATATCTGTATAGCAGTGAGGTGGCTTTTAGTCTGTCTGGCCTCTGTGTTTCTAAGCATGAGCTTGAGAGCAGTGAGATACTTACCAGCTGGTTACTGTTACACTCTACCCCAGACTCACCTTTCCACCACAGTTATGAACTGCCAGGCCTTGGCCTGCTGTTCACATTGTGGAACCCAGTCTGTGTTTACAACGATTCATTAATCACTAAGGAGCCCCCAGGGGCAGCTGGACTAGACTTTGTGTGTCTCCTCTGTCTGCTCACTCTGCCTTTGACACACCTGCAGAAACTGGTGAACGAGACGTTCCAGAAGCTGTGGTTCACGCCAACCCCCAGCCACGACAAGGAGGCCATGACCAGGAAGATCCTCAACATCACTGATGTTGTGAGTCTTCACCTTTTCTGGGATACGCAAAGGACAGTCTATGGCATAACTCTTCAGTATTCCATCCATTTATCTGTCTTCTGATCCTGTTCATGGTCCCAGGCTCTTGATCATTGCCTTTTTCGTTTGTCGTATGATTCCAGGTATCTATGCTGTCGTGCTCTTTTTCAGGTTGCTGCTTGCAGAGATACTGGTTATGACTGGTTTGAACAGCTTCTTCAGAATGTGAGTGACTGGTTGAACTATGTTCCTTTTTATGTTGTAATGTTCACCTGAGTTGTTTTGCGGTTTTTTTTGGCTTTCTGGAGGAGCAGTCTGACCTTTCCTATGTTTTGCAGCTGCTGAAGTCAGAAGAGGATGCATCCTACAAGCCTGCCAAAAAGGCCTGTGCGCAGCTTGTGGACAGCCTGGTGGAGCACATCCTCAAATACGAGGAGTCGCTCTCAGGTAGGGAGAGCAAGGACAGTGTGTTGATGCACTGCTTCTTTTCAGGGGTCCTTGGGAAAGAAGGACACTCTGTGTCTAACCTGAGTGAACCTATTGTCTCTATGGCCCATAGCCTCGGAGCACAAGAGCGTCAACTCAATGAGGTTGGTCTCCTGCATCACCACACTGTACCTGTTCAGCAAGATCCGCGCCCAGCTGATGGTGAAACACGCCATGACCATGCAGCCCTACCTCACCACCAAGTGCAACGTAAGCTTGCTGACGGAAAAGTGTATCAATTCATTGTCAGACTGTCGGTGTCAATTGTTGGCTTATGAGGCCCCCTTGTGGCAGACAACTGCAAGTGCATGTTGAGTACCAGGACCTGCTTGTGTTAGTGAGAGGATGCCTGCATATCAGTGTTACACCATCTTTCTTGCAGTCCCAGAGTGACTTCATGGTGATATGTAATGTGGCTAAGATCTTGGAGCTGGTGGTACCACTGATGGAGCACCCAAGCGAAACATTTCTGACCACCATTGAGGAGGACCTCATGAAGCTCATCATCAAGTACGGCATGACGGTGAGTGTAAACAAACTTAGTATTTATTTTACCAACCTTTCCAGACGCCTTTTATTTTGGTTTTCACAGCTTTCAGCCAGTCCTCTTCAAACCGCTGGTCAGAAGCTGCAGTGCGTAGCTCTTCATATGTGCTGCCCTTTTGCTTCTAGCGAGTTGACTCGTTCCTGGCTTCTCCTCAGGTTGTCCAGCACTGTGTGAGCTGTATCGGGGCGGTGGTCAACAAGGTCACTCACAACTACAAGTTTGTGTGGGCCTGCTTCAATAGATATTACGGTAAGATGTAACCCCAGCCTGGACACAAGTGTGATGTGCAACTGGTTACTATAGAGTCCATCACAGGAGCCTGTCTGAGACCTACTGGTTTTCGTGTGAAGGACTGGTTTCCTTACACCCACAGCTCTAACTGTGTTAGCCTTAAAGCTCTCGGAAACATGGATATTTTCACCATTCTGTCTGTGGAGTTGCTGACTGTCCCTGCTGCTCTCTCAGGTGCTCTGACCAAGCTGAAGGGTCAGCACCAGGAGGACCCCAACAGCACGGTGCTGGCCGCCACCAAACCAGCTCTGCTGCGCTCCCTCTTCACCGTGGGGGCTCTGTGCCGGCACTTCGACTTCGACCTCGAGGAGTTCAAGGGGAACAGCAAGGTATCCAGTTCTGGAACTTTGTGTGTGTTACTGGGAGCCCTTGTACAGGCTGATGTGGGCCAGAGGGGAAACCCCTCAGGATGATATAAAGTCTGCAACAAAGGTGCTTTAAGATCATGGTGATGCATCAAAGCATGATGAAGGCTGATAGTAGTTTTGTCCTTACACCCCTGATGGGACTGTGCTATCTGCTCATGTAGTTTAACTAGACTTATGGGGATGTGGTGCATTAGTTGGTATCGCCTGAGGGAACAGTTCAGGTTTGTGTCTTAATCTTTCCTGTCCCGATTTCTTCCCTGTTTCTGACCCTCAGGTGGTCATCAAGGACAAGGTGCTGGAGCTGCTTCTGTACTTCACCAGACACGAGGATGAAGAGGTGCAGACCAAGGCCATCATCGGCATGGGTAAGAGCCGCCGTGTCTCTGATCTCCTCTCCATCTGTACTATATCTGCAGCTTCTGATGATGCTGTGTCCTTCCTGTATGATTGCTTCTTCATTATTCTTGACCGCAACCTCTGGCCCCTTTTCCTTCGGCAGGCTTCCTGTTCATCCAGCACCCGGCCCTGATGTTCTCTCAGGACGTGAAGAATCTTTACAATGACATTCTGTCGGACAGGCGGAGCTCCGTCAACCTTAAAATCCAGGTGCTGAAGAACCTGCAGACATACCTGCAAGAAGAAGACTCACGGATGCAGGAAGCCGACCGCGAGTGTGAGTCTCCTGCCCGCGGGATGCCATCATATGACCTTACATGTGTGCTTCCCTTGCCCGTGTGCCATATGCGTCTTGTCGTGTACATTACACCCCACGTGTAAGATCCTGCCTTGTGTTTCACAGGGAAGAAGCTATCCAAGCAGGAGGACCTGAAGGAGATGGGGGACATCTCATCGGGCATGAGTAGCTCCATCATGCAGCTGTACCTGAAGCAGGTGCTGGAGGCCTTCTTCCACACGCAGTCCAGTGTGCGCCATTTCGCCCTCAACGTCATCGCGCTCACGCTGAACCAGGGCCTCATCCACCCAGTGCAGGTACGAGTCTGAAGGGCCACCAACTGTGGATGTGTCTTCAGCTTCATGGTCTGACCATAGTTATTATGTGTGACTGTATATTGCCTCTAGTCATGTGGGTTGAATAGTATTGAAGCAACTGATGTTGATGTACAGTGAGCATGGTGCTAAGGGCTTGTGACCAGAGGGGTCTTCTGGGATAGGTGTAACACTGAATCCTGAAAGGGGCAGTTCACCCCCAAAAAAAGATGTTTAGATGGGCTTATGTGGCATCTAGGCTGTTCTACTGGGAGTTGCCTAGTTTTCGAGATTTTGGCCATAGAAATGTCGGCCTTTTCTCAGATGTAATGGGACTGAATGGCATCCTTTCCGTGGTGATTACAGCGCCACAAAATTGTATTTGAAAAATTTGTCTCTTACCTGAAATCATGACCTGGTTATTGAACATAATCTACAGACTTTGTAGAGAGCAGATTAATGTAGGAACTATTTTCTTCTACCGAGCTCCACTCACCGGTCATATACCTGTGCAGAAGGTGGCGCTGGGCTCTCATGGTTGTATCTTCTGCACAGTGATAAAAAAAGTCTGTTATCTTGAATAACTGGGATATGATTTCTGGACATGGCTGTTGAATTTTTCAAATGAATGTTTTTTTTTGGCATTTTAATTGCCACAGAAAGAATACCATTCGCTCGCATTATATTTGAGAAACGCCTGACATTTCTATGGCCAATATCTCCACAACTAGCCAACTCCCAGCAGGACAACCTAGATGGACAGATAGCACTCAAGCCCCCATAAAACACATCTTTTTCAGTTTTGGGATGAACTGCCCCTTGACCCACTGTGCCATTTAAGAAGCCTTCTACCTTGTATAATATTCTTTTTAAATGTTTGTCGTTTTCCCCTCAGTGTGTACCATACCTAATCGCCATGGGAACAGACCCAGAGCCGAGCATGAGGAATAAATCTGACCAGCAGCTAGTGGAGATAGACAAAAAATACACGGGCTTCATTCACGTGAGTGATCTGTCCTGTGGTACCTCGTCACCTTAGCCGAGGCAGTCTGTGAATGAGAAGTTTCTTGGTCGACCAAGTTAAGTGAAATTTAAATTCCCTGCCCCATGCAGATGAAGGCAGTGGCAGGGATGAAGATGAGCTACCAGGTTCAGCGAGCTATCTGGCCAGCCCAGAGCACCATCATCCGTGGCTTCCGGCCGGACGAGATACACTCGGCGCTGTGCTCGCATCTCTACAGCATGGTGCGGGGGAACCGGCAGCACCGGCGCGCCTTCCTCATCTCGCTGCTCAACCTGTTTGACGACAGCTCCGTGAGTAACTCGTGTCCATACGGAGCCTTCTGTGCTCTGACCGCATGTCATGGAACATTCCACCAACTCCTGACCCCAGCAGCGTTTCCCGTCAGTGTGCTCTGTTGGGTATTAGTCTGACCCCTGCTTCTTCCCTTTCGTTCCCGGCTCTGCAGAAGACGGAGGTAAACATGCTGCTGTTCATCGCCGACAACCTGGCCTGCTTCCCCTACCAGGCCCAGGAGGAGCCGCTCTTCATCATGCACCACATCGACATCACACTGTCTGTGTCTGGGAGCAACCTGCTGCAGTCCTTCAAGGAGGTGAGAGGCCTATGTGCCAGAAGCCACGGAGGCAACACCCCCCCAATCCCCCCCCTCCAGAGTGCTCACAGTCCCCTTGCTCTTTCTCCAGTCCTTGCAGCCCACCATTAAGGAGAAGGACCGGAAGAACGGCTCAGGGCAGAAGCTGCAGGAGAAAAGTGAGGAAGAAGCAGCATCCAGCTCAGTCATCAGTGGAGATGAAGACAATGATGATGACGACGACGATGACGTGGTGGTACGGCGACCAAAGAAGCCGAAACGGGCAGCTGTGGACTCGGACTCCGACTCGGACATGGACCTGTGCACTGAAGACGTGGGCTGGGTGATGCAGCGCCTTTCGGGCAACCCCACGCCGCTGCTGGACTTCGCCAACGCCTCCCAGGGCATCTTACTGCTGCTGGTGCTCAAGCAGCATCTGAAGGCCCTCTACGGCTTCTCAGACAGGTACCGCTACCGCCAGCGTGTTTGCAGCTGTCATTGCTGCACTGCACGACCCGGCGTCATTGGTTTGGCTGAAACCTTTATCCATAACGGCTTAGCTTGCCCAAGTATGCCTGCGACATAGCAGAGTTATCATGGGCACCAATAGCTGACCACATTTAGTTGACTCCCTGCAGCCTGTATTTACTTTCAATGCTTAGGCCGCCTGGATAATGGTTATGATTCCTGTTAAACATCTAGCATTTGTCTGCTTGGCTGTATGTTTGCCGTAATGAAAGATTGTCCCAGAGTAAGAGCCCTTGTGCTCCACTCACCACTCACAAATCTGCCTGCAGTAAAATACAGAAGTACTCGCCCACTGAGTCTGCCAAGGTGTATGACAAAGCCGTCAACAGGAAGTCTAACGTACACTTCAGTCCTCGCCAAACCATCGAGTTCCTGTCCAACAATGTTGCCAATGCCATGCTGACCGAGGAAATCAGGCGGAAGATCATCAAACAGTACCTGGATGTAAGGATCTTGACTTTGAACATAGCAGAGACAGGCCAGTTGGTTCTGTAACAGGCCTCTCTGTTGTGGTTTTTGAAATGTTGTTTGTTGGGTTATATTGAAATAATTCAGAATATCAGAAATTGGTGTTTTTTTCAGGTGAATGAGGCACCTTTAATCAGACAAGTGAGAGAATTTCTGGTGGTTTGTGTGTCTGACCAGTGGAATAGTCGCTCTGGTTGACCCCAGCTTCTCCTTTTAGTTCAAGTTATTGATGGAGCACTTGGACCCAGATGAGGAGGATGAGGAGGGGGAGGCTTCGGCCAGCACCAACGCTCGAAACAAAGCTATCAACGCACTGCTGGGTGGCTCCAGCCCAAAGAACAGTGCTGCAGTCGACACGGAGGACGATGAGAGCGAGGGCGAGGAAAGGACCCCTGGGGTGAGATGTGCACTGTCTATGACTGATTCACCTAATTGAATTAATGATAGTCACACACAAGTTCTTCAAGTATGTTGGATTCATACCAATGTTTTGAGGTTCTAGGTATCTATTCTAAGAACCACTGACCTAAAGGGAATGTGGAGTTTTTGGGTTCTACGTCTGTCTTCCTGCATTCATAGATGAAATTTAGTGTAGACACTTTTCTGACTCCCAAAATCCTCTCTCCACAGTCGTCCCGGAAGTCAAAAAAGGGCGGGGATTCAACGGAGGCCTCCGGTCACATGAATGAGACTGTGGAGGCTATGGACGTCATCGCCATCTGCTGCCCCAAGTACAAAGACCGGCCGCAGATCGCGCGGGTCATCCAGAAGACCAGCAATGGCTACAATGTGCACTGGATGGCCGGGTCTTACTCAGGCCCCTGGGCCGAGGCCAAGAAACGGGACGGACGCAAACTGGTGCCTTGGGTGGACACCATCAAGGAGTCGGACATCATATACAAGAAGATTGTCTTGACGAGTGCGCACAAGCTGACTAACAAGGTTGTGCAGACTTTGCGCTCATTGTATGCAGCCAAGGACGGGACTTCTAGCTAATGAACTCCATTTGCCCGTCACTGTCAGTCCTCAACAGCCAAATGACACTAGGAATCCAACCTTTTTCTAAACCCACCACACAGACGCAAGATTATCAGACACTACAAGGCCTTGAAATGCAACTTTCTGGCAAAAAAAAAGAGCAGGTTTGTGAAGTTGGTCTGTGAAGGTGTCCGTAGCCGTGTAACAGGACACATCGCAGTGAAGCAGAAAGCTGAACCAAGACTAAAATCCTGAAGGAAATGTTTGGGAAACATTGTGTGGGAGCCTCCTTCGCTGTTGTGCAGCAGAACCCCTGGTCTTTTGATTTCTACTCCCACTGTATCATAGTTTAACACAAAAACTAAAATGTTTATATCTCGGAAAAAGATTTCTGTTTAAAAAATAATAATAAACTTAAAGTGAATGTTGGAACTTAGTCTGTTGATGTTCTTAATAAAAGTGGTCTTGGAGTTTAACCTAGCGCCGGACGGCTTTCTTTAGCTTAGCTTATTTTCCTGGGAAAGCTGTTTTTATTTTTTATTTTTTCCTTTTGTTTGTCCATGCTGTACAATGGCAGAGTCTCCTGGATATAATTTATTCTGTTTTAAAGGAAGCATGCAGTATCTGTGGCCTACCTGCAGGGGGAGTTTTTGTAAATGTAGATTTTGATGTATTAGGTCACCCTAGTTAATGAGGGAAAGGGATCCCCAGCACTTCTGGTGGAACAAATACTGCAATAAATTTTCTACTTCTCTTTGTTACTCGTCTTGTTTGCATTTGAGTTTTTTGGGCGCAAACTTCATATAAAAGCTGCATTAACGGTTGTGATTATGTGTAGATAAAACGCACCACTACAGAAGGGACAGGTATTTGATTAATTGGGCAAATGTAATTCCCATAGCCTGAAAGCCTGTGGCTTTCATAGAAAGTGAAATTGAGTTGACATGAACAGAAACTTTGCCCACATCCTATCCAGTTTTCTCGGTTAGTGCTACATCAACTCCTCACTTTCCTTGTAGAAAGACCACAACTTGTCCCGTAATGACTCGGATCGAATATTTAAATTCGTGATGCTTTTCTGCCACCTGGTGGCGTCTTTTTGAACTGCACTTAAAAAAACCTCACACTTGGATTTTCCAGTATTCTTATCCTAATAAAATAATTAGGACTGGTCATGAGTCGGACTTACCAATGCAACAATTTCATTGTGTTGCGTTAACGTTAATTTTACATTCATCCATTCATTAATTATGAATTTGCATTTTACTTAAACTGAATACTCTGAATTGAAAATTTTAATTTAATTTACTGCATGTATAATGTACTAAAGGCTTCTCGAAGCCATATATCATGAATATTTTAGTAAGCCAGTCAAAATATTTTTCCCCAGTACTTCTTATTCCTTTTCTCGATAACTGTCGTTTCAAAATCTAAGTTCATGCTCGTGTTGCGTTTTATATGGGTACGCTCTTGAAGTGTGTCTCTCCCTAAAGAATGACAATTTGGTTCGGACCTCTTTCTGGAAATGTAAGCGTCAGCTAAAAAACGAATCATCAGTCTTGTGACTGCTTCTTCCATGCAAGGTCGCGTGGAACCAAGGCATAGGTCAGTAGGCTTAAGACATGCTGGAGTGTATGCTTGTTCATAACAGGGCTCACACACTATGGGTGACTTACAGAAGGAGCTGACAATGTGCGTAAAAAATGAGGATGCGCAGTGTCTGCACACACGCAAGGATAAGATTTAAATCCCCAACACTGGAAGCTACTGAATAGCCACATCTTCCACACATCTGCATGTATTGTAGCCAGATGCGTTGGTGGTATAGTGGTGAGCATAGCTGCCTTCCAAGCAGTTGACCCGGGTTCGATTCCCGGCCAACGCAGGTTGTTTTTGAAGTTGAGCTGCTTAACAGGTAACTTAGAAATGATGGGTGAGTAATCAAATCGAAAACTTCAAACATAGCCAACACAGCAGGTTTTGGTTTTTTGGTTGGTTTAGTGGTTGTTTTTGAAGTTGAGCTGCTTAACAGGTAACTTAGTTCCTGGTGCTTTTGGTCTTTGGTTTCCTTATCATGTTCCCAACATCTCTGAGTGATAACCGGAATAGCCCAAGAATTACCTGTATGAGTTTAACCTATGAAATTCTGAAGAAGCTGAGAGATAACGACAAATGCTGCCAGTCCAGAAATCAGACATCCCAAGTCTCCCGGAAGTTCCGGGAGTCTCCCGCATATTGATAGCGGCTCCCTGATGCCCGCAAATTGAATTAGAGAGAGAGAGAGACCGAAGTTATCGGTTCAGTGGAGCCTTCGAAATTTAGTGTGCTGACTAGAAAAAATGTATTAACAAAAAATTATACATATGGCCAATGTAGAAATTCTCTTGTGTGAAATAAAGTCATTTCCCTTCTTGGGGGGGGGGGGGGGGGACCTCCCTGAAATGAGTTTTTGCAGGTTGGGATGTCTGAGAAATGATGGGTGAGTAATCAAATCGAAAGCTTCAAACATAGCCAACACAGCAGGTTTTGGTTTTTGGTTGGTTTAGTGGCTAGCGTCGGTTTTGAACAATACCCGTGAGCCATCGTCTAAAAAGATGATTAAATCGAAAAGATAAGAGAATACAATTTACAACACAGAATTTAACGGTTAATGTATTTCCCAGGATGCTGATGTTTCCCCTTTTTCTACAGATGCGTTGGTGGTATAGTGGTGAGCATAGCTGCCTTCTAAGCAGTTGACCCGGGTTCGATTCCCGGCCAACGCAGTATCTTTTTCAAGCAACAAAATGAATGGCATGTGGCAATCCGTAAATACAGTATCAGGCTGGTAATTAACATTCTTAGTTTAATGGTACTTTCAGCGTTAAACCGTGGATATTGGGATTGAAAGTAGCCCGTAGTATCTGCAGGACTGGACCGAGCCGCACACCCCCTTTCTGGCAATATTCAGTGAGCCTGCGGGTTTTTGAACGCAGGTGGAGTCAATCTGCGCTCTTCTTGGTCAATGACTTAGTAATTTATTAGCACATTGTACACGGGAAACTTCACCATAACGATTGTAAAAGCTAGCTCAAGTTAGTCTATGAAACATGTTCCTCTATATAAGCCACACTAAGATCTGAACCGATGAGGAAAACGCCCAGATGCCAAGTCAAGAGCTGCTCAAAGTAGGCAACTAGAAACCTGCAAGCGTTACCTCCCGCCTCCTCCTCTACTGATCATAAGGAAACATGAAACATAAGTTTTCAGTAAATTTTTCAAGATTTAGATGTTTCGGAGAATATACAATTGAATTCTTCATGGAAAACAACTGTATGGTCTGAGTTGAATCCAGTACCGACAAGAAGAAAATACATTCGCGTTGGTGGTATAGTGGTGAGCATAGCTGCCTTCCAAGCAGTTGACCCGGGTTCGATTCCCGGCCAACGCAAGCAATGTTTTCCTAACATTATTCAGCCATTACTGATACTGAACTGTCGTCAAAGCGAATTCATGGCTTGAAGTCTGTGCATTGCATTCTAACCATTAGTCATGATTTCCTGCTAAATTTATAAATAATTTTTTTTAACACATAACACACCTTAACTATGGCTGCTGGTGCTGCTGCACATGCCACTATTTATCTACTGTGCTTGTCCATGTGTGATGCATGTTCTGACCCCCAGGCTCTCTGCCTTCCTTCCCACATGTCTGGATGGTGCCTGTGGTGGGCACCATCTGAGCTGGAGTCCTGGTTCAGTCCCATGGAGGGGTGACATCATGGATGTGACCTATGAACTGTAATATTGTGGGTACAGCCTTTGATCTGCCACCCTACACAGGCTGGCATGGAGAACAGACTCATCGATGGACTTTGGCTTTGCCCTTGACCACATTCTACACCTTGCATTTAGCAAGCAAGCCCAATCTCTTTTTCTATAATGTTAGCAGAGGTTTTTTTTTCCTCCTTACTTAGGAGTTTTTAGTTCCTCTCCTCCATTGTCACCTGAAATGAATCTACATGTGATGGAAGGTCATGTGACTGTATCATAGTTATTATAATATTAGATCAAACGGACAACAGAGTTGGTAGGGTTGCACACTGCTGGTCCCATCTCAGTAGGGTGTGGCACCACCACAGGCCTGGATACATGCAGCAATATGGTGTGGAAGGGAGTCGTACAGCCGTTGTATCCTCTCCTGCGGCAAGTTGGCCCACAGCTGTTGTAACTGGCCCTCGAGATCCTGCAGATTGGCACTGGGTCTGAGTTGATGTCTGATCTGATCCCACACATGTTAGACTGGGGAAAGATCGGGGGACCTGGCTGGCCACTGGAGGACCTCAACATGACGCAGGCAGTCCATGGGCGCTGTCTTCTTGAAAGACCGTACCAGGATGCTGTCTCAGGAGGGGTAAGACATGTGGACGCAGGATGTCCCTGACGTAGCACTGTGCCGTCAGGGTCCCCCGAATCACTACCAGAGA